TGACAAGGAGACTAATTTAGTGTTGTCGCTTTCCTCTGTCCCCAAATGGTATTTCTGCTGATTAGCCTTCCCAAGGGCAATTCTTACATGCTTTTGATAGCAGTACAAGAAAAACCTCTGGAGGAAAAAAACCCCATCTCTGCATATTTTTTCTTTTTGTTAAAATATTCCAATCTGTATGGGATTTGAGCTTACCACCTTTGGATCAACAGCTAGGAGCTCTTAACTATTCTGCTCTTTAAGCAATTGGATTTGAAAACCTTCTTCAAGAGTTTAGCTTAATTCCCTCTTCAGAGCTCTGAGAACTTCAGGGGATAATGACTGTCAGTCACAGCTTTAACAACTTCCTCTCAGTGTCCAAGTCATCTTCATCCATTGCTCTGGAATCTGAGCAGCCATGCTCATATTATTCGTATCACTCCCAGGTCTGTACATAAGGAGCGGAATCAGGAAGACAATCAGCAGTTGGAAAAACCAGGTATGGAGGCAAGTTAAGTCCAATACTGATATACAATTGTCAGTGAGTTTTCTCTTTAATCATTTAATTCCTTCTACTTCAAACTTTCTGCCTTGGTGGAATAAAATTAAGAGATAAGGAAACAGAATCAGAGAAAGGGCCTCTAAGAAAGAAAATTTTTATGTATTAGGCCTAAGCCTGCCTCTAAAAGAATGTTTAAAACTTGTTTTTAGTTTTTTTTTTTTATCTAGCATATCATCCATGTCAGTGAAATCTGAGCCAATCTTCTCCTTCCTATCCTGTAAATAGGGAGATGTAAGGAATGTCTATTAGCAACTAGAAAGGACACATTAGGAAAGGCTCTTTAAATGCATTTCTCTTCAGTTGGTTGAATTCGATGTCCTGCACTTATTGTTTTACTCTGGAGGTTCTGTAATGATATGAACAGTAATATGTTAGGTTTTATTTTTACTGACCTCGGAAGGATGGAAGACTGAGTCAATCTTGAACCGGTGAGATTCGAACTGCCAAACTGCAAGCAGCCAGCAGAATTAGCCTGCAGTATTGCATTCTAACCACTGTGCCACCACAAAGGATCTCATAGATTTCCTCCTTGTTCAGATCAATTAAATATTTTCAATTTTCACAGGAGAGTATATAAAAGAGACACGCAAAATTGTCTAGCTCATTCATTTTTAAAGAGGCTGACACAGTCTCTGAGTAATCTTGCCCCACTGCTACATCTCCCAATCTGCTTTCAGTTCTTTGTCTGCAAACCATGTTGCTGTTGTCTTCTTCACAATCAGTTCCCTTTTCTCTCAAGTCCTACTCTTGTTTTTTTTCCTCTTCCCACTTTTTTCACTGATTCTCCCTTGCCAGTGCACAGCCATTGCAATCTTTATTTTATGTTCCCCTGCCCCTTTCCTGTCCCCATCACCAGTAACAACTTCAGTCCAAATATTCATCGCTCTTCCTTGCTTCAGACTTAAGATCCAGTTTCCCAAAGATCCCCTTCTCAGGATCCAGTTCTGTTCTCCATTCTGGTTCTCCCCCATATGTAGGATTCAGCTATCAAGATCAATAAGTAACTTCTTAGGACAAATTTAAAAAGCAATTTGAAACTCTGTTAAAAATGAATAACTACCGGTAATAAAGATGGAATTAAGACTTAGTGTCCATGCAACACAAATCTGTTTTCTAGTTGTGATAAATGTGTTTTTCCAAAAGAAAACAACATTAAGTTTGGAGAACTATAAATATAACAAGTTAAGCATTTATCCAATTTGTGAAAAACATTTAGAACTAGGTGGCCATATAAAGAAACCCCTGATTCAGCAAAAAAGTTCACATTTTTAAGATAAAACAGGAAACACCATACAGCCATAGAAATGCCTAGGTGGATATACTAGAAATAATAAATATATTACAATATTCTATGCACAAAATGTTTTATATATGATTGAAAAGGTACTATGCATAATATATAGTACAAACCTACATCAATTTTGAGCATTTTCTGTTTGCATATGGATACATTATATTAACATTTGTCTGAATGAAAACAATACAGGTTTGTTACATATTGGAAAATTATACATATCCCTAAACTGCCAAGTCAATGAAACATACCCACCAAGGGCTTTAAGTAAAGGTAATTGCTCTATGTGTTTACAATTGCTTAATTACTTTACTTTGCCAAAAAAGGTCATTAAAATAATTTTGAGACTGAATTAAGTTTAAGGATTAACTGTATGCTGTATATTCTAAGTAAGTTCCATTTAGCACATTTAATAGATGTAAAAACTCACAAGTGATGATATAAAGGATAATTTACGCTTGCAATGCATTTTTATCCAATTAATAGATTGCCTGTGTGTTGCATATTTTGCATGACAAAAGAGGTGAATATTAAACTGCCATTCATAATGAAAATGCACTTTGCAAATTAGAAGTGCCGAAACAGAAATTTTTCACCCTGTTTAGGAAATAAACAGTCCTTAACCAATTAAACTGCATTGTAATAATTCTATGATTTATTGCAAGTTGTTTAACTTTCAAAACTTGGCTAACCCATATTAAGGTCACAATCCATCATGTCTTGCTTGGAAAGCCAGCAAATAATGGCTGTTGTATTAGCTGCTTTTGATGATAGTATGAAAGAAGTATTAGCACTTGTCAACAAAACTGCTTACAACATAACATTAGCATGCATGGGCTGCTGTACCTATTTATTATTCTGGCAGCTTCACACATATTGTTACAAGCTTATAAAACATTTTGTTGGGTAGAAACCAATGTACACTGTTGATTTTCTGATAGACTGGCAGCACAAATGTCTAGACTGACTTAGTTCAGTTTAAGTGTAAATAGAGACAAAATTTTTTCAACCTGTTCTCTTATTGATATTGAAAAGTGCTGAATTATTCAGCATCTAACTCTTCTGTTTGTGTCTATCACAGTTATCAATTACCCATCAGTCTACTTGTCAAAACAGAATGGATTAATGTAGCTGAAAACAAGACAAATAAATAGATACTATAACAGGGGTTCAGAGTTGACAAACTGTCAAAGGGAAATCCAGGCAATGACATTTACCGTCAAAAGGGGGATAGCTGGCTTGAGAGAGCAAACCATACTTTCATGAGCCAAGAATGCACTTATCTTATTGTAGCTAAAGGAAATCTGATTACTCTACTAATACATTGACAATACTTATACCACAATAGTCAATATAAGTAGGTATTCTGTTGTACAAATATCTTCAAAATCTTATACAGAATATCTTGTAAATTTAAAAAAATGGAGCAATATAAATACAATTTCAATTATTGGGAACATGTTATGGATTTTTAGGGATAGAATTTAAAAAGTGCTTACCAAGATAGAAAAATAACCTCTGTCAAACCCAGGCTTGCCTCCATTCTGATCTTCAGAGAACAAAGCACTTGGTTTGAAGCCATTATTTCCAAACATCATAGGATAATTTGATTTCTTCAGGAGGAAGGTTAGTAATGACTACTAATTTAAGGTTAGTTTTGGATTACTGTAAAGATTTTCTTTTATTAATAAATGTCTCCCAGACCAGTTTAAAATAATTATAATCACTAAATTCTTGAAACACTACAGAACTATTGCTTCAGATTACCAATATTTTCATTTAGATATTATTATTCTGTAAAGTCAATGCACCAGCACTTAATGGTATCTCATAGAGCTTCTTTGGAAAAATTAACACTTTTAATTTAATGAAACTTTTAAAAATGTATATCTTTTCATTTCATATGTTAAAATAGTTATTCTTGGATAAATGTGTATATAATTGCACCTTTTATCATTTTTAAAGAAGTTAATTAATTATTACAGTGCTCTATAGTATAATACCATTAACATGATTGTTTGACAAATGCCAAATCATTTCATTTTGTGGAATTAACAACTAGAATCAGCTAATTTAAACATGGAGATACTAAGTAAGAGGAGGAAGATTATAAAGAAATGAATGTACAATCAGGTTTGCTAGATGTGATAAATGTTAAAAACTGTTTCTAAAACTGCTGTATCTGCTGGAATGGGATTATGTCAAGGTTGTGTAAAGAGCCAGTGTTATTGTTTCTTAATTAAATATGTTCTGCTTTATTAGTTCCATGCAAAACAAAAATAATATCCTGTTCTATACTATCTATATCAATAGCTGTATCAATATCTATCTATCTATCTATCTATCTATCTATCTATCTATCTATCTATCTATCTATCATCTATCTATAGAGAGAATCTCTATCTACAGTATCTATCTATCTATCTATCTAATCTATCTATCTATCTATCTATCTAATCTATCTATATCTCAAACTCTCTCTATAGATAGTAGATATCTATCATCTATCTATCTATAGAGAGAATCTCTATCTATCTATCTATCTATCTATCTATCTATCTATCTATCTATCTATCTATCATCTAATCTATTTCTCAAACTCTCTATAGATAGTAGATAGCTATCTATCTATTTATCATCTATCTATCTATAGAATCTCTATCTATTTATCTATAGAGAGAATCTCTATCTATCTATCTATCTATCTATCTATCTATCTATCTATCTATCTATCTATCTATCTATCTATAAACATGGGCTATAACTTTGACCCTATTACAATTAGAATCTTTAGTTAGAAGGAATATGCAATCTGTTCCTGTCAAGAAATATATAAATTGTTTAATTCTAAGTTAGGGATATGTTTTTCTAAGTAAATACCATAGAATACCATCCTTGCAGAGGAGAAACAATACTCCAGATTTCATCAGGAGATGATCCAACAGTGACAGAGGTGACCATTATATTTCACATCTATAGACAAAATATTGCTAGATTGAAGACTCTACTATCACTTTGTGAATTGTTAGGGAGGGGCTACCTTCATCCTCTTTCTCTTTCCTCTTACTCCTCTAGAATGCATTCCTTCCTTCTAGGAATCCACCTTCTCACTACATTCTGTTACATTGTTGCTTCAGCTCCATTCCAGCTCTGAATAAGCACTAATGGATGTTGCTCTTCAGTTGCAGCCCTAGGTGCTGATGTGCAAGATGGCTGGACCATTCTCCCTCCTATAATCCACAAATGCAGGTACTCATCCCACCCATCCACTCACCTACCCACCCATTCACCCAGACAGACAGACAGGGAATAGGTTGGTCTCACAGGAAGAGTCCCAACACACTGTCAGGTATAGAAATAGCAATAGCACTTAGATTTATATACCACTTCATAGTGCTTTACAGCACTCTCTAAGTGGTTTACAGAGTCAGCATATTGTCCCCAACAATCTGGGTACTCATTTTGCCAACCTTGGAAGGATGAAGGCTGAGTCAACCTTAAGCTGGTCAGTATCGAACTCCTGGAAATCTGTGGATCTGAAAATTATAGCGAAAATTGCATGTATCTCTGTGATTGAAGGAAATAAATACAGTTTTCTCACTCTTTCCCCAGATTTATGTATTTTAAGCAAGCTAAATAGATTATCTGATTTGCTAGTTAGGAATTTCTCAAAATCAAAGAAATTTCTGGATGGCTCAATCAATGAATTTAATGACATCACAGCTGAATTACTTAATTCATATATATATAATTACATTATACATCTAATTGATAATATTGTTTATAGTTACTTCTATGCAATTATGAACAGGCAGTGCTACTTTATCCTGCCTATATGAGCCCCACATTTTATACAACTAATCTTTATCTTATCAGCATGCATGTTTTATTGAAATATATGATAAATCTATGGCCAATTCTGAACCATATTATTATTTTAAAAGGTAGACTTATTATTTCAATAGTTTACAGAACTGAGAGGCAATTGCCATAAAGTGTTTTGAATCTCAAACCTTATTGGCCTTACATTCGCCTCTGAATTTATATAAATCCTTTATTTTTCCTCTCCACCATTTGCCAATCATGTTCTATACTCAATTTCATTGAGGGCTGCATCAGGGTTGTGTCTGACCTCGGGGGGGGGCTGCCCCCCCTCCCCCGAGGTCAGAGGGTTGGCAGAGGGTTGCAGGAGGCTGTCCCAGTTGAAAATGGAGATTGGGCAGATTGTAAATCATTTTTTCTGACATAACTTTGAAACATTATTCAAACAACAAGAACTACCTATACTTGAATCTTGGCAGTTTGCTTTAATGTAACTAGCTTCAACTCTGTGTACAGTTTGTGTCAAGCTTTAGACCAGAAATAAATTATAACTCTTTGGAAACTTAACCTTTCTTCAGCAATTGGTTTAACTTGGCAAAAGTCTCTGAGTCATAATTTGACTACTTTAGAATTGTTATTGCATAAAATAATGAAGATTTATACACAGTAAAATAAATAAAATAAGCAAAGCAAAGCTCAAAAACATTATATTGGTCTACAGTATGCTCCAAATTCTTTAACTTTTTTTCTTCTGTATTTCTGAATACCTAACTGTTTTTTAATAGCCTTGGAAGGCACCTAAATATTATATTCACATCATCATTCTCTCCGGCCTGAGAACTGCTGTTAATTTATATATTCTAATATAAATGCCAGATAAATATTTTCTTCAGGTAGATAAGTTATTGAGGAAATATTCCAAACAACCTAGGTTTTCATAAACTAAATTGAGTTTATCTATTGAGAATTAAGCTTTTAATTGATCAGATTTTTAAAAATGCCATTGGGTATGTATCTTATCAACCACAGTAAAGTTTTGGCCAAATGTATCCATTTCTCCCTAATGTTCCCCTGCAACAGACTCTACACAGAATGTTCATAAATGTTTCAATGCTATAAGTCCACTGTGAGTTTCTCATTTGCACAGAGAAAATCTCATTCTTAATGTTGGCTTCTCTACCTAAGCCTAGGAAGAATTCATTTGAACGCTAGGACAGTGGCTGTCCACATATAGATAATGCTGAGCAATTGAAGTCAGTGGTCTGTGCTATAGGCAGCTTCCTATGTCCTAAATTTGGACATAAAATCTTTTCCTGACAAATCATGTAACCTTAACTACTGAATGTTGTATAACTGAGGCAGTGTAAAATCAAATCAAATCAAATAAATAAATAAATAAATAAATACTGAGTAATTAAATGAATGAAAAAGGTAGTCGTGCAGAAAATACACAATATATTTTGGGATTGCTGTATAATGTTTCTGTTATAAAATACGACATTGGTGGAATTTATTATATTTTGCACAATGTTCAACATAAAGCAAGGCACAGTACAATTTTTATTACATGTTATGGTAGTTACATGTTATGGTAGCCTTCCCAAATATTATATAACATCCAACTGACATTAAATCTAAAAAACTAAATGTATTTTGAAATACATACAAATAAAAAAGTGAATAAAATGTTGGTGGTACTTAAACTATGATGCAAGGTAGTGGGAACACAAATATGGACTATAATATCCAGTAAATCTAAAATATTTTATATTCTAAATATATATTCTTAGAATATAATCCTAAGAATATTTAATATTTATGAGCCGAGGTGGCGCAGTGGTTAGAGTGCAGTACTGCAGCTACTTCAGCTGACTGCTAGTTCAGCAGATCAGCAGATCAAATCTCACTGGCTCAAGGTTGACTCAGCCTTCCATCCTTCCGAGGTGGGTAAAATGAGGACCCAGATTGTTAGGGGACAATATGCTATTTAGTATACTGTCTTTGGTGTAAGCCGCCCAGAGTCCTCGGAGAGTGGGCGGCATAGAAATATAACTAATAAAATAATAATAATAATAATATTCTTTAAAGCAATTTAGATATTTTTGGACACTGCAGGTAAAATAACAGTATTTAGAAACATTGAATGAGCCTTTTATTGTTAATTTACAAAGCAGCCCCAAAACGGACAAATATATTGTGTGGTGATACATAATATATGCACAAATTACAATCAAATTCCATTCATATAGAGAATACTGAAAAAGGATCATAATGATGGGGAATGTTGCACTGTGTTGTGGGAAAGGCCATGGAGAGAAAAAAGAAGAAAAGTTAAACAAAATAGGGAAAATCAGTCAGAGAATATACTGTGGATGCAAAGCCTCCATACTTTTTACATTTAACTATCATCTATTTTTTCTCTGTGCTGTTGTGCTTTAATTCTGATTAAATTAAACAAATATTTAAGTGTAAAATACAATTGAAAAAAGTTGAGCAGCTTTCCATCTTTAATTCTAAAAACCTGTATTTCAGCTAATCTCTGTTACTTAATCTATTTGAAAAATTAGATTATAATATAGTAACAGTAATTTTCAGTAGGTTATCTTCATTATATAATTCACATTAGTGTCATCACAATTAAATTTGTTACTATTGTCAGCAGATATCTTCACCACTGTTTAAAAAGTAGTGTTTTGTTCAACTGGGTAGTAAGGAACAAAACATAACAAATCTAAACATCTTTTTTTTGGTACTGACCTAATATTTGAATAGTAAACTTTATTATTCCACATTGCTTCAGAGAAATGTATTTTAAGACAGTGTACTTAAGAAGTGGAGCATTGCCATCCCATTTTGCATTAAGTTGCTATAAATTATTACAATAATGCATTTTCATGACAAGATTGTTCTCTGTGCACAACCTGAGTTTATTTTCATAACTTCTATTTGATAATTATACAGTCAAATAATATTATCTATGAATGAGCTGTAGATATAAGATGAGATTTCCACTATAGACTAAACAGCATTTGCAATTTAAAAAGTGCAAAGAAGAGCAACTAAGATGATTAAAGGCCTGAAGACAAAAACATATGAAGAATGGTTGCAGGAATTGGGTATGGCCCGTCTAGAGAAAAGAAGGACTAGGGGTGACATGACAGCAGTATTCCAGTATTTGAGGGGCTGCCACAAAGAAGAGGAGTCAACTTATTTCCCAAAGCACCAGAAGTCAAGATAAGGAACAATGGATGGAAACTAATCAAGGAGAGAAGGAACCTGGAATTAAGGAGAAACTTCCTAACAGCGAGGACAATTAGCCAGTGGACAGCTTGCCTTCAGAAATTGGAGGGGCTTCATCACTGGAAGTTTTTAAAAAAGACTGGACAGCGACCTATCTGAAATTGTATGGGGGGAGTGATGGCTAACCTTTTCTGGACTGAGTGCCCAAAGCGCTAACCCTAACCCTAACCCTAACCCATCTCAATTTGTGACTCTGGGCAGCTTGCAAACAATTAAAAACAATATAAAAATACCAAAGCAATTCAACAATTTAAGAATAATAAAACAATATAAAAGCCACATACAAGCTGGTCACTACTACCTATGATTAGCCATATTTTATGATCAGATGATGACCTTAGTATGGTTCAACCAATTAGACATCTTTATTTAATTGTAGGATGATAATGATCTATCTAAAACTAAAACTCACTAGAATTTACTTCCAAAGATCTAAAAGAATAAAAAAGAGTGATTTTCCTAGTGGAGATGGTTCATTTGATAGAACAACTGCCATAGTCCAAGAGGCAACAGCAATGCACCCACTAAAAACAAAAATAAAACACCTTCTGTAAGTGTTTAAAACAGTGTTTACACTGTTTTCTGCAAAAAAAATAAATAAATCTTCATGATCTTTTTTTTTTTTTCAGGCTCTCTTGGCACTGTTTCAGCTTTCTCAAGATACCTCCACACAAAGCAAATATCATTCATCAGAAGTTTCATTTGGTCCTTGTTATCACAACTTATGCTGCTTAATTTTTATTCAATGAATTCACTTTCTTATTTATTAGATGCAAGGTAGCCGCTCTTCCCTAAAGGCCTTGTATGCAAAACCTTGCTTGTAATCCTGTCATTTCAAACCTCTATAGGTTTTTACACAGCTTCAGGAATTAGGAAGAAAGAAGCAAACAATTTAGATTCATCCATGCAGATATTAAATTTGTATATGATTAAGGAAATGAGAGGAATTTACACAGAAAACCAAACATAGTAGCTGCAGACCAGTGGACTATATTAATCCATTTATGTACAAATTAGCAAATTTATTTCTGCTCCTAAAAGCAGCTCAATATAATGTATTTAACTTGACACGTTTCTGTTTCTCATAGGTGCTTTCAAAGTGGATTTTTTTACTGTTCAACTAACAATATATCCAGTTACCAGAATAATGCCTAATATTTCTGATAAAATGCCTTATATTTCAAAATATGCACATTAAAAAAAATATTATAGAAGTTCTGAGTATTAATGCTGAAAAATTATTAAAGGCAAAAAATTTTGAATTAAAGTTGCTACTAATTTTACTAATTAGTACTAATTTACTAATAAAACTTTTTGTGCTTTTAACTGTCTCTCTAATGCTCATTATGAGTAACAATAAATAATCATAATATTAAATAGTAATACTACTAGTAAATAGTAAATAGTAGTAAATCATAATAAATCATAATACTCACTTTAAAGAATCCCATATATTTCAAATTAACCTTATAACTTGATACTATGAACATCATTAATATATGAATCACTAACTGAATTAAATATATTTTCAGGTAGTCTTAGGACAATTATGAATGTATATAACATTATCTATAGAATAATGCATATTCATTTTATAAGGAAAATATAAAAGCATATAAATTCATAAAGTAGTAGTAAAATTATAGGCAATACATTGATGTTCATTTTTGAATTATTTATTGCTTATCTGATTAGGGTCCAAAAACTTAAAACTTTAGTTTTTACTTGTATAAATACTTTTATTAATTGGTGTAATTTTAACTTTACAAAGTTATGTAAATTGGAAATATGGCACTGCGGCATTCACTAAATACGCAGCAATACTAATAGATAAATCAGTTCAGAATTCTCAACAAACTGATATAGTCCCAAACAAGGGCAATTGAGAAAAAAGTCACTTTTTAAAATACCAAGTATCAATACAAACTTCATAACACCATGTAATTTATAAGTTGGCTAACGAACGCAAGTTTGGTAAAGATTTAAATACATCTAAAACCCTTTATAATGCATATCTGTTTTAAAGTAAACTGAAGTAGCAACAGATGACATTCTTAAGAATAAGTGTGCTGAAAATTTAATTAAATGTGACAAAATTTTAACTTAATCTACTTCCTCAATAATTAGACTTTGTCTGATATCTATATTCAGATTTCAAGATCTGCTGTTCATATGACTTATAGAAAAATCCAGCTTATCAAGTTTAATACACACTATTATTATGTGTATGTCACTATGATTTTCATATGATTTGCCACTGATCAGCCTATACAGGATTTAATATAGATGGGAAATTGTAACAATCCCTTAAATCCATTACTAATAATGATATACACATTTATTGGTAATATGTACACTGCCCATTATTTTTTATTGCACAACTCTTACATATTTGCACTTGGAAATTTTAAAAGTCATTCTGTGATTTTTATAGCACAATAGTATGCTAGATGAAGATATTTAAGATGTTACAATAAACTGCTTCTGTTTTCATTTTGCATTTAATTTCAGTGCCAGACTCAAAGCATAAATTTTTTATCACCTGCAATGCTATGAATAAAAGATTAAAAAAAGATCTCAGAAGAAATTCTAACACATGCGGTGCATGCAGCACATTGTGCAGTCACAGTGTGCATAACTAGATGTTTAATTTCCATCATTTTCCTCTATGTCAGGAACATTATTATTAGGGTTAATGCATCATGGAGTTAGTTTCCAGTATTCCAGCTCCAGTATTCCATTAAATTTCAGTTTGCTTGTTTCTCGACAGGAAATCTATCGAGAAGCTGCAGAATTTGAAATAGGTAGATATTCTGTTAGAACTCTGTATTTTTTTAAATATAAAAATATAAATATCTTGTGGGATTAAGGTAATACTGACATATTACAATACCACTTTTTGTTTGTTTCATGAACTAGCAAATAAATCCCTTTGCAAATGCAAAGAAATACACCATTTTAATGGTAACTTTACTTATTAAGGCTTACTTCATATTTTAAATCAAAGGTCATGATAATTCCCATAAAGTGATAAGTGATGGTATGAGTTCACTCTTAAGACTTTTTACATTTAACACTTAAAAGTGCATTCTGTAGTACCATGTATTTTCATTTTTAACTTCCTTAGCATGCATCCATATGTAAATGGATATATATTCATCACAATAGTCCATTTTGAGATAAGCAGTGTTATGCAGACTGAAGAGAAGAAGTTAAAAATAATAAACTGGATTAAAAAGTATCATGAATAAATGGACAAAAGCCAATGATTATTTATTTATCAAATTCATTTGACATCCATCTCACAGTTCAACGTGACTCTGAGAGGCTTACCAAAAGATAAACAGACAGATATCTGACAACTATTAATATAAAACCAAATCAAAATTACAAAAGTTAAAACAAGCTAAAAAACAAGGATTTAGAGGGTAAAGGGTAAAGCTGTCTTGTGTGTTAGTTGAGCCAACAGCTTCATCTTTAGGACCCCATACCAGTCAGCATAATCAGGTTTTAAGGCTTTTCCTGAAAAGTGGGGGTGGGGATCTTATATCCTGTGGCAAGATGTTCCAAAGGGCAGGAGTCATGGCAAAAAGGGCTTCTCTTCTGGATCCTACCAGCCAAGTTTCCTTGGCTGATAGGCTCTGCAGTAGGCCCCTTTTGCCAGCATGAGTGAAATGGGCCAATCCCATTGGGAAAATACAGTTCCACAGTTCTGTATCATGGACCATGCCATAAAGGGTTTTAAAGACAATAATCTACCAGAAGTAGATTAGTAGCCAGTGCAGCTTGTGTAACAGTGGTATTACATGTGCTACCCTAAGGGCATCCGTGTTCTGGACCAATTACTTTTAAGGGTGACCTCACGTAAAGCACATTGCAGTAATCCAAGCTGGAGATGACCAAGGCATGAGTGATGAAGTCTCCATGATCCAGGAAAAGAAAAAGAAGCATGACAAAAAGTTGTGCAAAGATTCTCTTATCCATGATTGCCACCTGTTCTTCAAGTAGGATTTGTGAGTCTAGGAGAACCCCCAAGTTGAGCACCGAGTCTATCTGGGGTAGTACCACTCCCTCCAGAACGAAAGATAATAGATCTCCAGATGCCAAGACTCCACATACCCACAGCCACTCCATGGTTCAGTTAAAGCCTGTTGTCCCCCCTCCAGGCCTCCACAGCCTCCCGACACAGTGAAAGGGCAGCCACAACATCACTTGGATCACAAAATTTACCTGAATGTGAAAGCATCTTTGACTGGTAGCATATGGAAAGCTACTTATAAAATTCACTGCAGACATTACTCTACTTACGAACTTTCAAGTTGTGAACTTTTGCTGATATTAACAAACTTGTCCACAGCTCTAACCTAAAAGATCTTGGACATTGGGACAAAAAGGTAAAGGCTTAATTTACATCATGTTGCATACATATGATTGTTAGTGCCATTGCATAAGCCTCCTGTTGAGAAAGATATGTGAAATGCCTTGGTGATGATGAAATGTCTTGGTGATGAATAGCAATAGCAATACCAATAACACTTAGACTTATATACTGCTTCATAGTGCTTTTACAGCCCTCTGTAAGTGGTTTACAGAATCAGCATATTGCCCCCAACAATCTGGGACCTCATTTTACCCACCTCGGAAGGCTGAGTCAACCTTGAGCCTGGTGAGATTTGAACTGCCAAACTGCAGCTAGCAGTCAGCTGAAGTAGCCTGCAGTACTGCACTCTAACCACTGCGCCACCTCGGCTCATCATGAAATGGTGATGAAAGGAGATGAAATGCCTTGGTGCTGATGAAACGCCTTGGCAAAGTGGAGATAGGAGTGGACCCACCCAGAAAAAAATCGAAATGTCCCAGGAGAGAAGACAATCACTAAGGCAGGAAAGAATCTAATCTGCCTAAAAGCTGACCCAGAAGGCTCCTCCCCAAGGTGACTACACAGTCTGTGATCGTAAGGTGGACAAAAAAAAAAAAAAATTGTGCATGGGACTATCCGGAGGGGCAGTACACATCCACATCTTCACTGAATGTCCCCAGAGAGGCTTGCAGTAAGGAAATGGGATGGCATAAGAATGGCTATTGGGACCCAAGTAAACACATCCCTACTTATGTCAATGGGGAATGGAGGGGCATGGGGACACTCATCATTGCTTGTAGGGTTCAGGTTAATAAGTGTACACCTTATCCCTTGGTCCACAGGTTGTACAATCAGTGGTATCTGGTTGCCTCACCATTGGCCCTTCTCCAGCAATGGTCCCAACAGCCTATGGGAGTGAGAGGAAGCCAAGGAGCTTGCTGCTGCTCTGAAGTATGAAGTATAAGGTTAGTCTGCAATCAATCGGCTGAACAAGAAGAACCGTAACTTAAGGTAAGAATTGTACTGCATGTGTTTTTTATGTTGCTGAACTTGTGAACAAAATGGACAACCTTTTGGAACATAACCCATTTGTAAGTAGAGCACTGTCTGTAGTTTCCTTCAATTAAGCAAAGCTAAATTTTTTGAAAATGCATGTTTGCCAGCAATTAAACCAATCTTTTATTGTTTTAGAAGATAATTAATACTCATGTATAACTGTCAGTGACTAATGAATATTTAGGTACTTTGGGAAATTCGGTCTAATTAAGGAATATAACATTTAATTTTTTTGGCTACTGTGCTATTTCCAAAAAGTGAGTAGATTTCCACCTATAAATATGACTTTACCTTTGGTTGTTTTTTCTTTTAACTTGTGAGCTCTCCAAAGAGCTTCCAGAGCATATTTGGAGTCCTGAAAAGGACTGCTGTAGATCGGTGTTCCATTGTAGTATTGGTTTTCAATAGTAATTAAACAATCAGTGCTGGATACATATTTTTCAATAATAGAAGTATAGCACTTTGTATTATGATACTTTTAAATATTCTAAGTTAAGCTGTATTCATAGAGTTCAAAAGAGTTCATTTTTAAATTCTCTGATCAGGAAGAAAATACTGATAAGGACTTCCTGTGCCAAATAAGCACAATTTGAAAAGGCACACAACTGTGACAATTATCAGTGCCCTGACAATGCTGCCAAGATACAAGAGATCCAGTAAAGAATTTTACTATCACTGAAATTGTAATTTATCAGAAAAAAAAGAGGAACAGGAGGTCTTCTATTTTGGACTTAATCATTATTAACAGGGAAGAAATATAGCATACAATACAAGGACTGTAAAAGCCACTATGTAGGACAGAGAGGCAGAAGACATGATGAAACTTCCTTAATCTTATAACACATGGACAGACGCAACCATAGTTTCAATTGGGAAACTGTGAGCATACTAGACCAAGATAAATTCCCTAAAAAAAACAAGGGAATTCCTGGAAGCTTAGTACTCAGATACATCCATACTGAAGACACATAAAGATAAACCATATTTACACACTATTGAAAGGGATAATAAAAAAGCTAAGAAGGAAACAAAGAGACCAGAACACATCCTCTTTAGTAGTCAACACCAGACAAACAATCAAGCAGAAAACAAAACCATAAAGAATTACAAAGGAGAAAACTACTCCCCCACCTATCATGGCAGGGCAGGATCCTGTATATAAACAGCAAACCCCTCTCTCACTAGTACCGATGATGTTACCTAGTTGGGTAATGAATCATCTGTATGCAAACAACCAAACTCAGAGCGCATCAAGGATTCCACACAGGGAAAAAAAGGTTGAAAAATAAAGGGTCACTGGAATGTGTGAGAAAATGCTCATACTATATTATGATATCAAGAGGAACAGGAATACAGACGAGTTAATCTAGATTTCAGAAGAGAACCTTTTGCTGAATTTACAAGGATGGTACATTAGATCCAATCACTTAAAATCCTTAAAATGTAAAATGTATGGGAAGGACAGAAAATCCTGTGAAAGTTAAGGCTTGCAAGAAATGTTGCAATGAGAAAAGAAGGATTTTACAGGTGTGCAAAAAATAAAAGGAAAGGCAAAGAGGCTTATCAAGCTCCATATCACACAAAGAAACAAATGCTTTACAGATTTCAGTAAATTATCATTAATGCTAGTCTGGGGTAAATACAAAAAATCCTGAAAATTATAAACTGAATTTCACATTTTCATTAATAGTTAATCATTTCAAATTATTTCAAATGTGCCATCCCACCTGGAGTAAGTTACAATTAAAAAGATAAACTATCAACTGGCTATCTCTTGATTGTTTGCTTCCATTTCCATTCTTTTTCTAGTCTCCTCACAGCCTCTTACAGTTCTGTAATTAGTAACAGGTAATGGTGAGAAAGCAGAATGTCCTAGCTCATATTTTATTTCTCTTAGAAGGGAGTTGATGCCCTAACTCAGGCCTGCCAGATAAGGCCCGCACAGGCCAGACCTATCCAGGCTCCACAAACGCAAAAAACATCCAAATATATTACAATGTGGTCCGATACGTCACGATACAGCCCACGATGTGATTGGGTTTGACGCCCCTGCCCTAACTGGTAATTGTACTATAGTGGAGGGAAGAAGCTTTAATTTGTATTTTATGTATGAAAGTTAATAAAAATGGAAAAAATCTATATGTTTAAGAACCATCATAGTGTTGTGGCTCCGTTACTGGAGCCTGTGTCATCGTCAGGAGAGGACTCTGAGAGTGAAGGGGAGGAGTTGGCAAGACCTCCCTCTCCAGGACCCTCCTCTCTGGCAATGCCTTCGGTGTCCGCCGAAGGGCAAGAGATAGGACCAGGGCCAAGCACGTCCACGCAGCCACAGATGGACAGTGATGAGGGTAATGAGTCTTGGCTGGACCCACGCCAGCATCGCAGAGATAAGCGTGCGCAACAGAAGAAAGGGCGTGCCCGAGATTAGGCTGAGTCACTGGACCACACCCCACAGGATATAAAAGGGAGCGTGGTGGCCAGTCAAATCTTGTGACGAACAAAGCTGAAAGCTTCCACGCCATTCTGCATTGCCGGACTTTTGCTTTAAGACTTTGCTGGAGTATCTCTGGACTTGATTAATTCTGTAATTATTGAGCTGCTTTCCTTTGATGTATCAGAAGTGGGGAGAAGTTATCTCTCCTCTTTGTAAATAATAAACTCTTGGCAGGCAGCCACTAGGTTGTTGCCAAGTTCCGTTATCATAAGGAAAAGGATTTTGCCGGCTGGTTTGGTCTTTAACTCCTGAACGTCTGTTGGTGTGTGTGCGTGGGGTTGGGGACAGAACACATAGTTTACACAAAGTATAAGCAAAACTTTGACAAGGAAGAACAACAAAGGTACATCCAGATCAGTGGTGGGCTGCTGCCAGTTCAGACCGATTCGGGCAAACTGGTAGTTCTGATGATCAGCTGGCCCCACCCACCCCCTATCCTGTCCTATATTTCCTTCTTTCTGGCTCAGCTGATTCACGCGGCACAGCTTATTTCCGCACCTCCGCTGTTCTATTTAACGGGGCTGCCTTAGAAGATAAGCAGCTGAGCTTCAAATTGCTGTATTTTGAACACTGAGTGCAAGCGCATTAGGCACGCACTCACAGAACCAGTTCTTAAACCGGTTGCAGCCCACCACTGATCCAGATCCAATATAGTGTCCAAACTGAGAATTGATTACTTTCTGGACTTTCTTGGGTTTTTTTCTTTGAAAACATTTTACTTCTCATCAAAAAAACAAAAACAAAACCCACCTTTGGGACAACCATGAACTGGATGATTTTTCCATGTAGAGAGTAAAAATGTTTCCAGGCAAACAGTCAAGATGCTTTACTTTCACACTATGGGAAATGTATCTAATTCTGATTCTACATTCATAGAGCTACAATCCTAATTCCATTACTTCTGTGTTAACACTGAACTCAGTAAGATATTATTTATTTGTTTGCTTATATTTCTAAACCTCCCATCTACCTCAAAGAGATGGTTATTGATTGTGTTATTTAATACAGACCAAATGTCATCAGTAATATGGTTTACTAGAGGAACTATGCCCTGGTCCAGCATGGTGGATCCAAATTGATTCATAAGGGGGGACTGAAGCAATTAAAAAAGTAAAATCACTCAAGTAGCTCTTGCTTAGCACCACTAAAATTAAAGCAAAAAAGAACCTCATGTAATGCACAATATATACAAAGCAATTCACTTTCAACTAATACTCTAAATATTCTACCTATCTACAAAGCAACTTTTTATATTGTTCATTAATTGTAGTTTCCCCCAGGTTTCAAACTTTTATTGGCTCACTGTGTTATAGTGTTGTGCAAAAAATTCCACAGAAATGTAGTACAAATAAAACCCTCTCACTCGCTCATTAAAAGCGTTTGCAAAGCTCACATACTCGTTTCAAAATACTTCCACTGAGACAATATAATGGGACATGGAACAGGAAAACAAATCAGGTTTATATTTTTGTGCTTCTTTTCAGTTTTAGCCAGAAGTCAAAATTGTAAATTACAGTGAAAAGATCTTACAATAAAAACACTGTGGAACTTTCAGAAATGAGAAGGAAAATAGTTGCTTTATTAATATATAGTGCTGAAATATTAGGAGGATTTGAAATTTAAGTAGGACTTTGAGTTTAACATTTTAAGAACTTCCTTTCCCTCCTACACAGCATTAATCAGTTTTATGTATACCATAAAAAATATCCTTCTTAAAGAACATTCTGGATTAAACGTACTTTAATGTTACTTTGTCAAATATTTTGTCAAGCTTTTTAAACCTTTAAAATTAGTACTGATTTACTTTACTTGCTGTTTTTATTTTATTAATATTAAGCAATTCTAAAGCTTCTAGTTGCTTAAATTGTGATTGTTCCTGTAAGCACTTTTATGCTGAAGGGCTAGAATAGAGAATAACAAGTTAATTATGATGATGACAAGGTTGATAAGAATAATTATTATGGCATTTATAATTTATCTTCCTAAACAACTTATTCAAATCCTTTCAGTATAAAAACAGCAGTACTTTTTTCAGGACAGCAAAAATTAAAAAGTTTGATAGTTATAGTCAACAGCCTTGAGCTCCTGGCAATCATTACACATAAAGCTGAAGGCAGACATAGTTTCAGTCAGGTTGGTCAAAGGCATATAGGCAGAAGTAGATTAGATGCTTCAGCAGACTAACAAAGGTGAATCTGGTATCAGGACCACAACTCTACTGTCTGCACAAGCAGGTAACTAATACTGTAGATACGTGAAATCTCTGCCTAGTGGAACCACACAGAGAACAGCTATAAATTATATTGTTGCTTGTAAGCTGAGTTATGATCAGGAATCAGATCAGCAGATTCTTAGCACAGGCATGTTTAAGATTACTGCTTCAGTCTTTGAGTCCCAAACTGAACTAATTATGTGCCAGAGAAGTTATCTAAAGAAATCCTATAGCCTTGACTTAACAATG